CAGTGTGTTGGCTCAGGCACCAACTTTTTCGGTTCATAAATTTTTAAAGAAAAAACGTTTCCTCCTAAATTAGGTAACTTACCCACCTTAGTTTTCCCCTTTAAATTTAAGGAGAATTTAAAATAATTTTTGTTATTTACTGAGAGACACCAATTTTTCAGTGTCTATCTGATGCATGATGCATGCAGTTTTGTCTTCAAGAAATTTCTTTTACCTTATTTCAGTCGTTTGTTTTTTCTATGTGCATTTGATGCTACTTCTAGCACATTCATGGTTTTGTCTAAACATTCGTATTTTCAAATATATTTGTTTTCAGGTTCAGGATTTATTAACCAGCAGGAAGATAATGGACAAAAATAATGAGCGAGAATGCAACGAAGACTTGATAAGGGAGAGAAGGAAATGTAATTTTAACATAGAGGAACTTACAAACATTGTGGATGGTGGGAAGGCAAGAACAGCTAGACGCCGGGAAATACGTAAGTAGTGGAATACGCTTTTATAAATTGTACTGAGATTTGATTTATGTAGCAAAAGAGGATGAGAAACATGTTGAAGATTTAGACATGTGCGTAAGTCTTTATCTTGTCTGTATTGTATACACCATACATAGCTGTATGATCCTTATGGGTTTAGGGCTTAGTTTTATTAATAATAATACTAAAACCATACATATACGAGAAAGATGTTAAATAAGATGAGCTGAGTATTATTTTAATTGCGCGTACTTACAGTACTGTATTTATTAGTCAGTAGTGTATAAAATATTGTATTCATTAGGCATTTCGAAGTTGTTTGTATCGGTAGAAGTGTGAAAATGTGGAAAAAAAAAATGCTGAATTAATTGGAGGGTAGCCGGGTTTTTGGATAATTTACGTATATAAATTTGATGCTGTGAAGAATTGTTAGTACTGCGCGCGCACGCGCGCCCACACCACACACACCACACACACCACACACACACACACACACACACACACACACACACACACACACACACACACCACACACACACACACACACAGGGTTAGGGAAGACATGATAACGACATACAAAATACTGCGTGAAATAGACAAGGTGGACAGACACAGGATGTTCCAGAGATGGGACACAGAAAACAAGGGGTCACAATTGGAAGGTGAAGACTCAGACGAGTCAAAGGGATGTTAGGAAGTACTTCTTCAGTCATAGAGTCGTCAGGAATTGGAATAGCTTAGCAAGTGGACGTAGTGGAGGCAGGAACCATACATAGCTTTAAGACGAGGTATGACAAAGCTCAGGAAGCAGAGAGAGAGAGAGGGAGAGAGAGAGAGAGAGAGGACCTAGTAGCGATCAGTGAAGAGGCGGGGCCAGGAGCTGAGTATCGACCCCTGCAACCACAGTTAGGCGAGTACACGAGCTTCGGAGGTATGGAAGACTGCAAATTTAGTCCCAGTTTTAAGAAAGGAGATAGACACGCAGCACTAAACTACAGACCAGTATCACTGACATGCATAGAATGCAAAGTCGTGGAGAAGATTATCAGAAGTGTGGCGGTGCACCTACAAGAATGAACTTATAAACGACAATCAGCACGGATTCAGGGACGGGAAATCCTGTGTCACAAACCTACTGGAGTTCTATGACAGGGTGACAGCAGTGAGACAAGAGAGAGAGAGGGGTGGGTTGATAACATTTTCTTGGACTGTAAGAAGGCTTTGACACAGTTCCACACAGAGATTACTGCAAAGCTGGAGGACCAGGCAGGTATAACAGGGAAGGCACTGCCATGTATGAAAAAAATGACTGACAGGAAGGCAGCAGCGAGTCATGGTACGCGACGAGGTGTCATGAGTGGGCGCCTGTGACGAGCAGGGTTCCACAGGGTCAGTCTTTTTTCTGGTATATGTGAATGAAATGACGGAACGAATAAGACTCAGAAGTGTCTCTGTTTGCAGACGATATCAAGTTAATGAGGAGAATTCAATCGGTTATCCTGGGTGGCTAACCCTCCAGGCTTAAAAATCTTATCTTAAGGAAGTTGGACACGAAGATCCAGATTATGTCATTGGTGTTCAAAGCAACGTATAAACTAATTATCAAGCATTGTAAATGATATATATCCAATATATTTGTATATGTACTATGGTATTAATGTAGCACTCTTTGTTTATAATAACTATTTCAATTTATAATACCCTTGTATATTTTTCATCTCGCAGAGAGACTATTGATAAATGACCCAGAGTTCTTAGATGAAATTCCTCAGACTACATGAGTCACGAGGATCGTTATAGCAATGAGTTACGTAAGTCGGCCCACTTGATGCAGAAGCTTGCCGACCAGGAATCAGGACATGACATGTAAGTATGAACAATATTATGTTAATAGTAGCAAAATTAATAGTAAAACAAATAAAATTTTGCCAGGTAAAATTTTTCAGGTATTGTCAAGTATTCCGCTGTGAGTTCAACAGCTATGGCAATTTTAAAGGTTCAACGGCATATATTCTTAAATTTTTTAAAGAACATTCGTTGGCAAATTTTTAAATTTTTAAAAATTGACTAGAGGATACATATGAACCAAAGACGAGGATTTTTGAGAAGGTAAATTGTTGAGGACATAGCAGACAAAATTTTTGTAAAGATTTTACATGTGTTAGATGTATCTAATGACATTAATAAAAAAATTTACCTTACATCAAATTGAAAATTATTTATGCTTTAAAATCGTATGCTTGATTAAGTTGCACTTTTTATTTGTTATAAGTATTTATACCGAATTTATTTCTCAGACCCCAGGATATGGGAGCTCTAACAGGAATTTTAAAGGGGATGGGAATCCATTAATGGTCCACCTGTCCATGTTTTATCCCAGCAATACTTGGACAGGAAACTCAAAACAGCAAGAGAAATGGCTGGGTCGTTCTTACGGAATGAAATTATTGGCCCCTATGCTCAGGTAATTTTAGCCCTCAGGGGTTCAGCGCTGGCCCTGCTGCCTCTCAGAACAACTAAGAACATAAGAACATAAGAACGAAGGGAAAACACTGCGAAGGCCTACTGGCCCATGCGAGGCAGGTCCAAGTCTCCTACCGGCTTAAGCCAATGCACCAACCCAGTCAGGTCAGGTCACATTGACTTAAGGGAGGAACACGGCAACCGACCTGGTAGCAAAAGCTAAACAGGTTAACTCCACACCCACCAAACCACTCATGTATTTATCCAACCTATTTTTAAAGCTACACAACGTTCTGGCCTCTATAACGGTACTTGGGAGTTTGTTCCACTCATCCCCAACTCTATTACCAAAACCCGTACTTTCCTATATCCTTCCTGAATCTGAATTTTTCCAACTTAAACCATTGCTGCGAGTCCCGTCTAGGCTAGATATTTTCAACACTATTTACATCCCCTTTATTTATTCCTGTCTTCCATTTATAACCTCAATCATATCCCCCCTTTAAATTTTAGTCTTTCTTGAGAGTGCAGATTTTAGGGCCCTTAGTCTATCCTCATAGGGAAGGTTTTTGATACATGGGATCAACTTTGTCATCCTCCTTTGTACATTTTCAGAGAATTTATATCCATTCTGTAATAAGGTGACCAAAACTGTGCAGCATAATCTAAATGGGCCTAACCCAAGGATGTATAGAGTTGAAGAACAACCTGAGGACTCCTATTATTTATGCTTCTTGATATGAAGCCAAGGATTCTATTAGCTTTATTGCGAACACTTTTTGCACTGTTGTCTTGGTTTCAGATTACTGCTAACCAGAACTCCTAAATCTTTTTCGCAATCCGTTAAAATTAAGATCTACATTATTTAGTTTTATGTGGCATGGTTATTGTCCTGTCCAACATTTAGAACTTTGCATTTGTCTATATTAAACTGCATCTGCCACTTCTCCGACCACTGCATCAGTCTATTCAAATCTTCTGGAGTGCTCGAATGTCCTCGTCAGAATGAATTCGACGGCCTATTTTGGTGTCATCGGCAAACTTGCCGATGTCGCTCTTTATGCCCTCATCTATGTCGTTTATGTAGATTGTGAACAGCAGGGGGCCCCAACACTGACCCTGTGGAACACCGCTCGTGACACTTTCCCACTCTGATTTCCCCCCATTTATGCAAACTCTCTGCTCCCTTTTTGTCAACCATGCCTCTACCCAGGAAAAAATTTCTCCTCCCATTCCATGTGCTTTAATTTTCCTCAATTGTCTCTGATGTGGGACCCTGTCAAAAGCCCCTTTCTGAAGTCCATATACACAATATCATATTCATTTACCATGATCTACCTCCTCAAAAAACCTTAGTGAAAAAAGTTAATAAATTCGTAAGGCAGGAACGCCCTTTGTAAAACCATGCTGAGATTCGTTGATTAATTTATGCTTTTCGAGTCTCCATTCCCATTCTTCTGTTTAGGGATGTGCCAAAGTGTTGGTATCGAAAGGGAGTATCGGCCCATTTTACGGTTATGGTTAAAAACACCCGAAACTTTTTAAAATATTAATATTACGTGTGTGTATTTTAAGCCATTTGTATTTCTTTGTGTAAAACATTAAATCTTATGGGAATATTTGTTTATAGGTCTTCAGTATTTTACTTATGTAAGGTTAGGCTCTAAGCTAAGCTCTTGTTGTCCTGTCGTTAGTATTACTCTGGTAATACTTCCATGATTTTCATTGGCTTGTGGCACTACCTCTCTTGTACTCCATTACATTGATGTTTGCAAAGCAAAACTTTCTAAAATTATTGTACAATTGTTATGGATTTCATGACACATTGGATTACTCCTTCGTGATAAAGTTGATAAGTTAACCCACAAAAATTTCCTGAAGAGAAATGTAAAATAAAACGGTGGTGTGTCCGTGTCTAGTATTTGGAATAATATTAAGAGAGAAGTAAATAAGGTAGAAGCCTGGGTAGATCTATAATCCACTATGATAACATGAACGTAGATAAGTACGTTTATGGAGTAACTTGCAATGAAAACAGACTGATGTTGTAGTAGCCAGGCT